TACCAGCGGACGACTGTCGGGCAACTGGCAGCGGGGCCGCCTTGGCCTTTTCAATTTTCTTGTTCGAGTCCCTATGCTAGATGAGCGGTGCTAACGGAACGAAAAGCTGTCTCAGCTGAGTATATAGCAAGGTATAGCAAGGTCAGGAAAGAGCAAGTGTTACGAGTAGTGGGGGGAGGGGGAGGAATAGAGAGGAGGAGAATGCTGAGTTTTTTTTTAACATTTTTGGTCGGATCCTCTGCCATTCAGAGAAGTTGTGCTAACTTTTAGCTCATTTCATCAGAACTTCCGGTTAGTAGAGGATGACCTTCTTAAGGATGGAGCCTGAGCTGCTCACCAGCAGCGTAATAGAGGATACGGCGGGATCCGTTTTGCTTTTGAGCAATGCGACTATTTAATGAAGCGAAATCTAGCAAAAATTGACGAAGACTACTAGTTGCGGCTTCCAGGTTCACAAAAGTGCTTTGAAGTCGGCTGTCGTAGAGGCTTCAAAAGTAACGATAAAGCTCTAGGTGACAGTGAAATCCATTTGTAGGGGAGGAGCGTCATCCGTTCTGCGCCCATGCCATTTCGTAGCGATTTTTGAACAAGTTGTGGTCTGTAAAATGACTTGTGGGGCACGTAAGAAACGGAAATTAGTTCGTCAGCTTGTTTCCCCTTTTCCCCATCCCCTAGAAAAAAATGTCACTAAATATCTGCTTTGCTCATTAATCTTTTTTTTTCAAATAATTGAACCCACCAACCAATCATGATGACCTAGATTCTGGTGGTCAGTCGATGTGTGAATCACCTAATTTCATAAACAGTCAATGTTTGCATACTGTGACGAGTTTCTAAAGAATTTTGCAGAGAATTTCATTAACTATATGATTCGAAGGGGTTTGCGAGTGCCAGTTTATCGCCGTGGAAACTTCCGCCTTGGCCTCAGGGTGAACCGGCCTGGTCATCTCGAAAGCGCTCGTGGTGAGCTGCGCCACTTGCCACTACACCATACTCGCAGCGGCTTATACTATCCTTACGGGTTTTCTTAACAGCTACCAATAATTTCTTTGATGTAATCATATATTTCCGAAACTCTTCTGGGGAATGAGACTCTCAATTACATGGGAATATTTCTCTTAAATTTTCGTAGAAGCCGATTTATCTCGCGCAACTTGTTGCTCAAGTTTGTCAACATCCATCGCTCATCTGTCTTTTCCCAGTTGTCCTCTGATTTGTCTATTATATTATTCTATTATGATAACTGTTGTTCAACGTCGCAGTTCGCGCTCCGAATGCTACCACTAGGGTGCTGGGCAAGAGGGCAACTGTTATGGGTAAAGTTTTGGCCCTGGGTGGGAATTGAGCCTGCATCTCACGCTTTCCGGGCGAGCGCGCTACCGTCACGCCACCAGGGTCGCCCTTACCCTCTCAAATTGGCGCTTCTATGCCGTATACTTGATGGCGGCATAACGGATAACACACTGGCTGGAAAGCGTGAGATGTTGGTGTTCAAGTCCCTCCTGAGGTATAGGCTTTTACCCATCACTCAGCACTCTTCTGATGTCTTTGATCTCTTATCTCTCTTTTAACCAATGTTTCGTTTACTTGATTATTGATTCATTTTTTGTCAGTTTTTTCAATCCTCTTTTGCTTTTCAGCCCCAATGAAACGCCGTGTAACGGTACATTTCGGAGATGTACGTGTAGTAGTTCCATGTCAACACGAGGACACAACCGTTGCTGACCTTGCCGAGGCTGCCATCATCAGGTACAAAAAGGCTACTGGGAAGGTGAATGAAGGTTTCTTCTATTGCTGTTTTTTACTCGTTTTTTTTCTCTTTTTGCGATGTTTCAGTAAAGAGAAGTGTTGGCTGGTTGGCATTGACTGTTTTTCACTCAGATGATTTACTAGAATTTCTTTTTTTTGCGGCTGAATTTGACACTTGTCAGACTTATTGTTAGGGTTACTTTTATTCTTAACTAAGAATGTTGGCCTTTCCAAAAGAGTCTTGCTGAGCGCAAGAGTCTTTAACCGATCGCTAGAAGATTTCCTTCATGAGCTTTGTAGAGCTTGAAAGGGCAGAGGTTTTGATGTGAGTCAGTCCCTCTGACGACGGGCATCTAGAATCCATTCTGATTGAATATGCTTTTTCGGTGGCGTTTTGCCCATACAATGACCTGGGCCAAATGGCGTCCAAGTCTGTGTTTTTGTATTCTCAGGTAGGTCAAGTTCCGAGTACGCGACCCCGGAGAAACCTCAGGTAGCAATAAGAGTCTTGGTTGACTCATATGAGAACAAAACTCTTCGACTAACGCCCCGTTATCCTCTTCAGAATGATTGAATTAATATTTAGGTAATTGAAGGATGTAAAGGCTCCGTGTTTCGAGGGCCAGTTTTGTCCGCAAAAAATTTTGTTCTAGTCACTGTCCGAAAATCGGAAAGAAAGGAATTCTAAGGTCTCCACGTCCAATGAGGTAATCAAAATCCCACGAGTATTCGTTTTTCCAATCTATTTAACTGTTTTTCCGAGGAGTTTGGCAATCGACCTCACCGCGCGCTCCTCATGAAATCGGTGAGATAATAGTGCCGGCGCCACTGTTGAAGCCTACCCACCAAAGTCGATAATAGTCAGTATACTCTTGATCTATGAATACGATAACAGTAACATCCGATGGCCTCGTAGGCTGGTGATCGTTGCTCTTCTGGAATTGCATATCGTAATCTGCGTATTTTTGATACTGACGGGACTTATTTGGTCATTGTATAGGTCATATGCACA